TCATTACGGTAATCTAGTTAATGAGTGAGTTATTTCACAAAATTCGACAAATATTTGTCCATAAAAATAAAGTTAAATATAACGGTTTAATACAAATATAATCAAAACAAAAGAGGGATTAAAATATATTAGTTCATTATTAAATAAAATAATAACTAATGGCAAACGTGATAAATTAGTTCAAACCGAGCTTAGAGAGCTTTTGTTTATTGAGTAGAAATATCTATTGTAAAATTAACTTTACTAAATTAATGTTAAATAATATAATTATAGTAAGTATAATTTAAACAAACTGCTTTATATCGAATTATATGATACAAAATGTGATAAATTATTAGATGTTACGTCCTTTTTTTATATTGAAATGAAAACAAATACTTATCCAGATCAATCAAAATATGTATAGGGTGTTTCCTAAATAATGTAAATCATTTTTGTAGGTGATTATCTAAAGACAATTTTATAAAAATATACTACGTTTATACAGGGTGTTTCAAAAAATATGTGCCATCTCTCGTGAGGAGATTCATCACGTAACAATAAGATTTGATTCTCATATCAACATGAGTTTGATTATGTTTTGTTTCGTAGCTATAGGACGTTAAAGTTTTAATTTTTTTAGATTTATTATAATTTTCTTCCAAGTGCTTTTAGCGATTCGAATGAAATTTGAGGACGAAAGTAATTATACGTGTGATATATTTTAAGATAAAGGATCTGGCGCAGGAATTTACTGCAGCAGACCATACCAAACCAAAGACTGAGATCTACTACAGTCTTGGAGAACACAAAACAATTTTCCAAGCTGAGCTATATGCTATTGAAATCTGTGTGCAACTGCTGGTAGAACAGCAATACACCGGGAAAACAATAAGCATATTTTCGGAAAGTCAAGCAGCGTTGAAAGCGCTTGAGGCATTGAAAAGCACGTCTATGAAGATTCTTCATTGTAAGAAACTACTCAAAATATTAGGAGATGGGAACAAAGTGTCGCTAATATGGATACCGGGACATGTCGGCCTAGAGGGAAATGAACGTGCTGATTCCCTCGCCAAAACTGGTGCAGGCTCGCCATTCGTGGGCCCAGAACCGACACTTAGCGTACCAAAAAATCTCGCAAGAGACAGGCTCTGTGAATGGGCTAGGGGTGTGACGTTTCGGGACTGGTATGACAGTCCCGGAATGGAACATGCCAAGATAATCCCATCAGGGCCATTCAAATGTAGAACAGATGAACTCCTAAAGGCTGGTAGGAACGGAGCGCGTACGCTTACTTCAGTATACACGGGCAACTGCCGGCTGAGACATTTACAGAAGATGGGACTGGTGGAAGACGCCGAATGCCGACTCTGTATGGAAGATGACGAAACAATGAAGCACGTTATGTGTACCTGCCCCGCTGGGGGCAGGACCAGGTTTGAGGTGTTTGGCAAACCCACGCTAGACCTAGAAGACATATCACCCTCGGACATAACGGCCTATGTTAAAAGGCTGGGACTTGAGGGTGAACTTTAATGCTCTTCTTCTATTAAAGAGCTTGTAGAAACTGAGCCACAATAGGCCCTCGCGGCCGCAGTGTGGGACCCTCCCCACCTAGGACCCACTCTTAGTTAAATACAATATATTTTTATGCTAAAAAAGTGTCGATATAATAAGAGAAAAAAGTCAGTGGCGTACAAGCTTTTTTTTAAATCCAGTGATAACTCATATGCACGTCCCTGATGAATATGTCGAGACTTTTTTAGCATTAAAATATGTCGCACTTATAGTAACTTTGACCCTGAAAATTTTATTCGAATCCCTAAAAGTACTTGGAAGAAAATTATAATAAATCGAAAAAATATTATAACTTTAACACACTGTAGCAACGAAACAAAGCAGAATCGGATCTATGTTGATATGAAAAATAAATCCTATTTTTACGTGAGGAATATCCCCACGAATGATGGCACATGTTTTTTGAAACACCCTGTATAGAGTAAGAGTTTCAATATTACTTATATTGAAATTAAAATCTATTTATATATACTTTTTTCCATCACCTTTAACATGAACGACACATCCTTATTTAGGAAACACTTTGTATGTAAAAAACAAGTCACATATATAAAAAAAAAACGCCACAATTTTGGTTGTATTTACTTTGTAGGTTTGTAAGTACTGGTCCCCCTTTACAGGAATGAAGGGTACAAAATAAATAAATTTAAATATTAATATTTTTTTAAATGAAGAAAAATAAAAATACAATGTTATTTTTATGTTTTTTTTTAACTTAAAAGACTTGATCAAAATGTACTGTATCCAATTTATTTGTTTAGTAAAACTTATAATTATTATTATTAGAAATAAAAAAGGGATGTGGATCTGGTGAAAGGAAGGGAAGTTGCTACTTCCAGGGAGGGGGGACCAGAGGTAGCCCTGTGCTATATGTACGTCTGCTCGCACGAGTTGTGTCTAAGGGAGTATGAAGAGTAGTATCTTGTAGAGGAAAATCTCTGCAAAAATATCCTCAAATCAGATTATTGCCTCACATCGTTTTTTTTATTGTACTGTTATTTATATATTTTTTTTTGTTTTTTTTGTTGTACTGTTATTTATATATTTTTTTTTTTTTATTTTTTTTTTTTTGTTTTTATTTTTTATTGTTTGTTATTTATTTACATACAACACTGTTTATCAAAATGAGTGTTTAGTACAAGAAATCTACTTGAATTTGTTATCAATAATTAGGTTGAATCAACTATCAAAATTTAAAATAGACTTAACATCTCCTTTTTGCTGCCAAGTGCTTCTAGTAAAAACCTGATGAAAAGTTCAAGGTTTGCAAGAGAAAGACCAAGAGACTTGGTCTTGCAATTGTTCATCATTACTAAAGGCTGGGCCACCCTGTATATAGTACGAGCCCTAACAACTATATGTTGGGACAAGGTCATATTTTGGAATTATTGCCCTGGTTTTTCAAAACGACTGAAAAATATATGTTTAATTTTTTAAATATAAACATAGCCATATATCCTAAACAACTTGATAATATTTTTATGAATATGTAAATCAATCCATATTTACAGTAGCGGATTTTGTTCATAAAAGGACAAATTTGCTGACAACTAAATGTTGGGACAAGTATTCTATGAACGTCACAAATGTCGCAAACTGTTTACTTCAGCATTGACAGCTTGTAAGTGACTGGATAGTTTGAGTAGTGAGATTTACTGTAAGTGATTTTAATTTTTTTAATTTTCAATTTTGTTAATTTAATTCAAAGTAATGGTCCGTGGAAAAGTTAAAAATCAAAAACTACGCTAAATTATCATTCGTCAATACAGTACGGGAAAAACAATTCGAAACATTTCTGATGATTTAAGTATTCCCAAAACCACGGTCTTTAAAATAATAAAAAAATACGGCGAATCTGCCAATGTAGACGTTAGAGGTAAAATTTCGGGAAGGCCAAAAGTTGTATCTCAGAGAGACAAAATGTAGTAACATTTTGCAAGTCTGCGAGAAGAAGTACTCTTCGCGAAGTAACAGTTAAATGGAATACTGTAACTGGTTTAAATATATCAAGAGAATGTTGCCGAAAATATATCCATAAATGCGGTTTGGGGTTTTACAAGGTAAACTTTATTTTGTGTGGATAATCAATTACCTGAAGATTATTGATACAAATTCTTATTTAGACCGAAGAAAAACCGCTACTGACAGAAATTCAAAAGAAAAATCGTTAAAATTGGGCAAAATCTAAATTATCGTGGACACAAAATGATTGGAATAACGTCATATTTAGTGATGAGTCTAAATTTGATGTTTGCGTTGGAGATCATCGAAAACGAATAATACGAAATAAAGCAGAAGCCTTTCATAAAGATTGCTTGAAGAGGGTTGTTAAATTTCCTAAGGGGATTATGGTTTGGGGTTGCATGTCAATAAGAGGTTTGGGCAAATTAAATTTTATAGATGGCACTGTTAACGCCCAAAAATTTCAACATATACTTGAGACCTCACTTTTGCCTAGTGCTCTAGAATTGTTTCGAAACGAAGACTATATTTTCCAACAAGATGGAGCATCGTGCCATTCAGCAAAATCAACTAAAAATTGGTTCGGTAATAATAATATAAAAGTTCTATTCCATCCTGCAAGTAGTCCGGACCTCAATGTTATAGAAATTGTGTGGCATAAAATGAAGCAATCTTTAAGAAACCACCCTCAACGAACAATTTTTGTTTTGCGGACAAAACTGCAGGAAATTTGGGATATTTTTCTCCTCAAATGTGCCAATCTTTGGTAAATACAATGCCATTAAGAGTTCAGGCAGTTGTTAAGGCGAAAGGTGATGTAACTCCGTATTAAACAAATTTATTGTTGTGCTGTCCCAATATATAGTTGTCAGCAAATTTGGCTTGATTTTGGCAGAATAAGGTATTATCAAAAGTGATTTGTTTGCAAAGTTATAAAAATATAGTAAAATTGTTTACATCATATTGTAATGTTTGAATTTAGAATAATAAACAAAATAAATTGAGTCGTTTTAACAAATTACTATTTTTATTGCAAAGAAAGACCTTGTCCCAATATATAGTTGTTAGGGCTGGTACAGTGTAAGACACAAACAATACTTTGAGAAAACTTGGTATAGATCTTTTTTCGAGCTTATGGTTGTGCTAAACACACATTTAAGATATTTTATCCAAACAAGAATAAACATAACAATTCTTTTTGGTTTAATAAAATACTTTTTTCTCAAAAATTAACCGAAAAAATACAGTTTGAAGGCCCTAAACTTCGATTTTTTTCTGTCAAACATAATTAAAAGCTTGATCGAACCGAGTGTTGTATTTTTACTTCGATTTATCCCTGATTTTTTGTTATTTTTTCAACGGGAAGGAAGCGTTAAATGAGCTGTAACCGGTCTGCGAATTCCTTTTTTCTCGGAGGCAATAAATCGGAATTGGATCTTTAAAAAACCAAGTGAAAAATGGAGAAGAGAAGGTTTACTTACTTGGCTGGGTTTGCTCCTGAAGGCTGGCTGGTATTTCCGTCTGATGGAACGTGGACAGCAGACGCAAAGAATTCTCAAAAAAGCCCTGAAAAAAAAGAAGAAAAAAAAACATTAGGGGGGACTTAGAGCTTTTTTTATTTGTTCATACTAGGAGGATACGGTTAGCACAAACTTATCCCGCTTTTTTGTCAAACGAAAGATGCTGTAAACAAAAATTTTCAAAGCTCTCTTTGTCTCTAAGCTTCATTTTTGTCTTCGTATCTCTGTTACTGTGAAAGGTATTGAGGAGGTGAGAACCGTTTCTGGTAGAACTTTTTACGTAGAATACAGTGGCGTAGTTTGTTTTTTCTACGATTTTTTTTTTTGGAAAATATTAACTAAAGTTATGTCTTTTTAAATAGAACATCCTGTATATTTATGAATGATTTGGTCCGGCTTACTATGACCTTTTCAAAGATATATGAAACTCTATACTTACTGCAATATTTAAAAGAAATAATTTATTATTTTTTAAAAGTGTCTGATTGCTTTTTCTGCTTGTGTGATTGCTTTTTCAAAATGCCCAACAACTTCAACTCTATCAAAATGTTGATCTAATAACAATTTGACGTTTATACTACTACGTCAAAAACAACTTTTTTCCAATGCCTACCATGACTTCACTGAATCATCGTTTCTTGTTCACTGTTATTAATATCTTAATTATTAGATATTAATACATTTTGTATTATGGTATTCTGGTATATCGTCGATTTTAAAATAAATTAGCCGTTTCTATCTCATTTTTTTATTAGAATGGGCATAATCAAGAAGGCTACTGATACCGTGTTGTAAAAACAAGGTAATTAAGGGCTTATTTTTTGGTATTTATTATAATTTTGCTAATATCTTCGGTTTGAAAGAAGATATCAAGATGCGGTTTTCGCTGACTTTTTAAGTTTTTACTACTCTTTACTATTAGCTAAAATTACTCTCTTATATACTATCGTATTTAATTAAAAAAAAAACGCACAATGTTTGTTAAATTATAAGACAGCAGCCCCTAGCGTCTACGTTCAAAAGCTTATTAGTATTATTTTTATGATATAATATAGAGTAAGAAACGCTCTTTTAAACGAGCCCTCGTTTGTTGGATTCTGATTATCCAGTCCGGAGTTATTAACAGTTAAATAAAGATAGATCTAACCCATGGTACAAAGAATACAAGGTATGATATTGCGCAGGTTGGTTGCTACGTCACAGGTGATAACAGGCGCTATTGGTCAGCACGCCTCGCGCGCCAATTCAAATCGTCAAGATATTGTTATAAACCTGTTTTTTTGTTTATATACCGTCATTGAATTATCGCTAAGCAAGTTACTGTGGAGCAGTGCATAAGGAGTCGGGCTAGGAAGCGAGAGACTGGAGTTCGAATCTCGGCCGGGAAATAACTTTTTATTTTTTTTTAATTTTGTTAGTTTATTTTTGTAGTATAAAAAAAGAACTATTTATTCTGTGATTTTTTAATCTCCGGTATTAATATAAATTGATTGTTGGTACAATACCTCATTTAATATAAAATAATATTCTACTTTTTGAAATGTATCGGACCCTAATTGTACCTAAAAGTAAAATATATTTTTAGTGATATACCATATTGTAAACTATTTAATATTTCAGTCACTTAAAAAGTTAATTTGCATTGAATAATTGCCTACCATTAAAGGAAATTTGAGCTATATAATCCTTGATGCGCATCTTCCTCTAAATTTTGGGTTTCGTTCAACCGATTTATTCTCAAAACCTGAAACATCTACATATAAAAAGAAAAGCACAGGTCCCTAATTATAATAAACTTCACCCTTGGAATTACTTCTATCACAATTACAATACATTCATCTGCATTGGCATTTTCTACTGTTCGATGGGAAACAATAAACTTTCCAACATTTTTTAAATGATGTAACAATTCCTCTTGTGGTTACTTTTCCATCGATATCCTCATCTCTGTCCTCATGTGAATTCAGAGGCAATGAACATGAAAATTATTTTACCATAAATTATTTTACCATAAACATCGCAAACTAAAAACCTAATAAACAATTTTATACCGAATATAGAAATAAATTTAGTATTCTTACCTATTATAGTCCAAATCCATGTTAATAGATAATTATTATTTTTAAATATATTTTTGGAACTGTTGGTTTTAGTAATTATTAAATTAAACGAACTAAAAAGTCTTAAAAATAAACAATTCTTAACCATAACTCCAAAAAATACAGATCTCCTGTCAACTTTCTTTATTTTTTATTTATTCATTGTTTTCCTAGTGACGTCACAGGTGGTATACGCGAACTGAACGAAATTGGAGCCGCTATCGATCATACCTTGTATTCTTTGTACCATGGATCTAACCTTCTCCCACCACTTTATTTTAGCACATAGGGGAAAAATTTTGTTCTAACAAAAAAAATTCAAAATTTACTGAGGATTATAAAGCTATTATTTATAGTAGCCATTATCTAGGCAAAATTCTGTAAAAATTCTATTTTCTGATTTTCCATAGCAGTTGCGTCCTCTAGTGGCCGCTTTACAAACTTGAAAATAATTTCTAGCAATTTCTCATAGCCCCTTTAGTTATAATTTTTTTTTCTGTAGGCCCTACGGCTAATACTTTCCGAGATACAGCCGAGAGCTATTCTTAGTGGGACACCCTGTACAAAAATAATAATTGTTAAAGTATACATTATAAAAAATTAATGAATTATACTCTATTTTTATTCAATTTTTATTTCTTTTACTGTGTAGGAAAATCATTAGAATATTAGTTGGGTTAGAGAAGGAAAATCCTGGGTAATAGATTTTTCTCTTCCGACTGAGTGTCTGAAACTGCGCCAGCAGTGGATTTAAGGCATTTAATTCGTGGTCCGGAAAAGACATAACTTTCCCGAACAAATTCTAGCTTTAAAAAGAAGAGACAGCACCCTTAAAGTGAAAATAAAAGCTTTTTACAAAGAGCATGCATACTTCACTAATAAAAACTTAAAAAACTGTAGTTTGTAAATAGGTAGTTAGTTTTTATACAAGACGATAAAATGGTATTTTATCGTCGTGTATAAAACAATATTTTTTTTCCATAGCCAGTTACGTTTTAAAACATATTCAGATATTGTCGCCGGGGATCATACAAGAAAAAAAAAAAAATGATATTCTGAACTAGGTTGAAAAATAAAATTAAACAAACAAACTTAAAATAGGATTAAGTTTGATATACTTTAAGAACTAGTTTATAAGACATAATAATTTAATACAATAAGCTGTAAGTAAGAGCACATATTTACTCTTTGTTCTCTTTTTTCATGTAATTACTGGTCAAAACTGCCAATACCAAGCAACAAGTCAAGGAACACCACTGAGAAGAATCGACGTATGGACTCAACCCCGAAGGAGAAAGAAGAATGTAGTACCACACCATCATGCCTATACGATGCAAACTGCCTACCCTTGTTTAGGAAGCTTTGTGAACAGTACACTATGGTAATGCAGTCCGAAGCAAGTAGTCCAATTCAAAAATGGGTTCAGAACGTGCTGTCAAATTTGGTTTGGCGATATAAGCAGCTACAGGAAGAGTTATTGTCTTGTCTAAAAACTGGTCTCTTCTTCGAAAGATGAATTCGACGCCAATCCAGATGACAAACAAAATCATACTGGAATTTTGTTTCCATTGTCAGCCTACACCGATATCAAGAAACAACTCCCTAAGGACGCAAGTATTGAGAAACAGCTTACCAAAACAAAGAGCTTTTCAAAGTGCAGGGAACGGGAGGCATGTGTGCATGTGTGTTAGGTTTAGAATGTGAAGGTGGATACTACAATCAAAACTTCAGTTTTCAGCCTCCGTGAGCAGCCGACGAGATTGGTGGGTGGGTGTTTTATGAACGAAGTCAGTGCAAAGTATTAAACTTAAAAACTATATAGGTATTGTGCAGTTCACGTTAGTGCCAGTATTAAAAGACATTTTTTTTTGTCTATATGTAAACGGCTAATCGCCATCCTTAAACTTATAGAGAAGCTTTTTTTTTATATTTTTTTTTTTTAGTTAGTAATTTCTTTAAAATTTTTTTTTTTTTAATTTTAATATTGTATACTTAAAACATTTTTTTATTATGAAACGTTAAGCACAATTTATTGCAATGTATAATAATTATTGTTAAAAAGTATAATTTCATAAATCTTGAATTATCGCTGGGGTCCAGCTTTAGAGGTGCGGGGGAAGTGTCAAGGATGGAATTATTCGATATATAAAATAACATATTTAATATTAATATATTTCGTAAATTAATAATTCGATTGAAAGGAAGTATAAAATAATTAAAGTTCATTGGCATTTACGCAACAAAAGTAAAGTTTTAAAAATCAAAGTTATAAGCATAATTGGCAATTGCGAAAATATTTCCTTTCAATACTACGAATTTGTAAAATCATCAAATCAGCACTAACGCGGTCATCGCACCGGTCATCGCACCGATAGACCAATAATGCTGATTCGATGATTCGACGTAACGAACCAATAAATACAAAAATGTCACCTGTTGGGGGACAGTCGATAGTCGATAGTAAGTTCGATAAGGTCGCGGTCGAGATTCCGGCATTGGCGTTACACTACCCTGACACTACCCCCGAGCCAGTGATGATGTTCGTCCATAAATATAATACGTAAGTACACATTTAGTTTTATAATTATTTTATTATTCGTAGATTAATTAAATTGATTATTAAGTTAAATTGAAGTATTTATTATTTGCTATGCCCCTAGTCATAACCCACAAAATGGGGTGTGACAATATTATTATTTCAAGGAATTTATTACGAGTAGAAAAAATATTGAGCTGGGTTGGCGTTGGTTTCTATGTAATTTGACAAATAAATAAAGCTGTCTCTTTAGTTGTCAGTTTTGAGTCAATATTTTTTAATTCTCTTTCGTGTCGATTGCTGGTTTCGTGTCGAATTCTCTTTCGTGTCGATTGAATTGGAGCCAGAAATGGCTCAAAACGAAATAAGTAAATTACCAACAGCTATTCAGGCTGAGGCGACAAACGCCAT